ATGCATATTAGCTACTCACTATAAACTCATCAGTGAGTAAAACTATTAGTTTTGCTTTTAATTTTTCGGTATTTATTTCAGATTTAGTCAGTCGTACACTTAGTTCTTATCAGTGTTTAAAAGAGGACGTGTTAAAACAGTGTTTAGTCAAAGTTAAACATGAAACGTGTAAGTTCATTACATCAGGCCCTTCAAGGGCCACCGTAATGCTCATGTGGCCCTCAGTGAAATTGAGTTTGACACCCCTGAGTTACAACAACCAACAAAAGTAAATTTTAAGCTCACCTCAAGGAATAATTACTCTCAWATGCTCATAGTTTTTCTTCACCACACATAACTTGGGAAGAAGCATAACTCCCTGCTCAAATTTACTATAAATCTTACTAAACACGAGAAACTGCATAAACCTATKAAAACATGGCATAGAACAAAATTATATTTGTAAATATGAGGACCACCGTTTGGTTCCCATATTACAGAAAGTCCTCATCGGGTGGGTGTCCTGTCAAGTTTTGGACTCGATATTTAATGCAAATAAATCCAAACTCACTGGCTTAGATCAACAGTTTGTGTTCATTTTTCACAGTTTATAAGTTGTAAAGTTTTAATTAAGTTTGTGGGTTTTAAAGCTGATGATCTTTAACACAATGCAATAAAATCAGTGCCTGAATTTGCACCTAAAAACGTGTAGAAATCAGAAACAAAGCCATGGTCTCACTTGTCATCCTGTGTGATGTGATCTGATTCAAACATCATGAATTAAACATTATATTCAGCTTKTAATAAAAAATGCCACAATGGATATTGGTTTATTCTTCTTTCTTTTCCCTCCAGTGCTCTTTCCTTCCAAAGTTTTCCATCCATATAGAGAGCAAATACGAGGACAACAAAGGAAACAATGATAAAGTGAGTAGAGCTCAAAGTGTGATTGGTGCCAACTTCACGAGGAGAGCTAAGAGAAAAAGAAAAGGAGGGGCACAGCTTGATTTTTCAATAGGGTTTCCAGTTGGGACATTTGATTTTCCTCCATCGACTTTTATTGTTTCATTTTCTTTATCCTACTGTTTTTTTCCCCCACCGTCTTTATGCTCCAAAGCTTTCATATCAATTCTAATGAATAGTCTGTGTCATTGTGACTGAAGGCCATGAAGAAAATAGACGCTCRTTCTGCTACCTTCACATTCCTGCAGATAGTTGAGATTTAGAYGCATCATAATAGAGTCTGTTGGCGAAAACATCATTATTTTTTATGAGCAAATCAATTTGACCGCATCATGCAAACTCACACAAACAACACAACGATCAGATTCCTGGAAAAAAAACAACAACAACACAAAACCAGATAAAGAGTTGGATTGCTGGTTGAAACTTGGTGAGTTTTTCCAAAATGTTTCAATATTTCAGTAAAAAACATAACCTAAAGTCATATTTTTTATACAACGTAAGTCTCAAAAGCTTTCAAAGGGAACCTGGTTAAAGGCAAATGAAAAGCAATCCAATATGACATCATTCTAATTTTTTTAAACATGCAATCCTTTCAGGACGACCGTCAACACCACCTGTCTTGGTGCTGTAATTATTCAACACTTAGAAGTCTTGAACGTCACAACGCCTCTTTCAGCTTTAAATAATCAATTATTTGGCTCAAATATCTACAATATTACCGCCAAAGTGTGCATTTATAAAAGAAAATTCGTGTTAACTATAACACTATTGAGAATTTGAAAGAAATAGCTTTGTGTGAGTTTAAATGCTGGAATTCTTCTACAGTGAAATGAAAATTTGTTTCTAGATTTAGAGCCTTGATCAGCAGAAGGACCAAGAATCACAGTTCTGCAGCTCTGCCTCGATCCATTCTGTAGCTGAAAACAAAAGGCTTGCAGCGCTACCCGGTGGTTTTTYACACGAGTTGCACCCAGATTTTCTGCTGGTAGCACAGATGGTCCTAAATTCACAACTGGTAGCTGATTGGAACAAATTGGGGGTGTCGACTCATTCAGAAGAAGCTCTTCTACTTATAACACCTCACTGCCTCCACCATTTGTTCAGTTACCAGTGCTCTTTGTCTTCTTATTCGTCTTTCTTGTGGTTTTATTCTCTTTTACTWAAACAATATGAATATTTGAAGGTAGTTTAATAAAAAAATTAGTGAGAAACTGCTTGGCAACCAGATTTAAATGATAACTTTTCTGTAATTCCTGCACAATGTGTCGCTCTCAACGGATCGTTCATGAATACTYGTGAATGAGTTCTGTCTATGTGAAATCTTTTTCCAGATCTTTGACAGTGAGGCCAGAGATGAGGAAACAGAGGTGTGTTTTGTAGACATTGCCTACGATGAGATCCCTGAGCGCCACTACAAGGAGTCGGAGGTGAGTGATGAGAGGAAACAGAAAGGAGAACTAAAGAGTAAACAGTGTTATCTTTTCATTAGCACCACCAGCTCAGTCAGTTTTGACCACCAGCTGCCCGTCTGACTCCTCTGAATGAGAAAAGAAACACTAAAGCATGGAGACGTGGGGGAGGTGGCATCAACTGTGGTGATTTGACATTCGTATGCGAAGCCTGTTGGCCCATCTGTCAGGGCGTGATAACGACAAGGAGCAGAGACATTAATAATCAAGAGGGGTCATGACATTGCTGCAATGCTTGTTTTATTATTGACATCCTCATTTACACACGCACACCTTCCACTGACCTTTATGGTCTTCTTGCACACTCTCAGATCTATGAATAGCTCAGGGATGCTGCTCAGAGCTAAACATAGATATCAGTCTGTCCGTGTAAACACTGTTGGATTTCCGGTTGTAAAAACACCACAGGTGGTTTCTTCAGGTGATGTTAGTTCATATTTCTTGACATTAAAGAAAAAAACTGATTGGCCCTTTAAGGCAATTAAATAAAAATATAATAGGTTGTGTAAAAGTCAATTTTTTAATCAAATTATCTGATATGTTTTTGATATCAACGTATAACAGGGATATTCAACTGGTGGTCCGCAGGCCAAATGACTTCCGTCTGGCACTTCAGTGAGGCTCCAACCCCCTAAAAAATGTATTTATTTTTTACATAATTTACTATAATATTAGATTTTAAATTAATTGTAAATTTTGAATTTATTGTTCAATGCAACAAATAATAATGTAAAAGACTATAATGCTTGTTTTACATGTTGTTTCCACTACTGTTATGTGGCTTCGAGGAACTGCAGCCTCCTTAGTTAAAAAGCTCTGAAGTATTAAAATAGGTCTTTTTATATTATCCATATCTGTTTAGAATCTAACTTTAAGTGCATCCTTTACATCCATCCATCCATCCATCCATTTTCTTC